CAAGAGCTGTCAGTCTGCCCTCCCTCCCCTGCCTCTGCAGCACTGGGAACTGAACCATGCACTCCACCGCTGAGCTGCACCCCAGCCCTGTTTTAATTTGAGACAGGGTCTCACTAAGGTGCTAGGCAGGACGCGAACCTGCAGTCCTGCCTCGGCCTTGCAGGAAGCTGGGGTTACAGATGTGTACCTCCTTGGCAGCTCCTCACCAGCCCCTGAGCGCTTTGCCTTCCCGGCCTACGGAGCAGCAAGGCATTGTCTGCGCGCCTTGGACTTCCCTGCCTGCACCTGCAGCAGCACATGCTGAACCTGCTGGCTGAGTGCAGCGTTTCAGAGCCTGAGGGCTGGAGCTGGGTGTGGTGGTGACGCAGGCGCTGTGGGCACTTGTGCTTTCCTGCAGGAGAATCAGAACGAGCTTTTACTCTGATGCTGGAGTGGGGACAGGGGCCCCAAGGCTGACTCAAACAAAGGACAAAGCTTTTACGGCATCTGGGGGGCAGACAGGGCCAGTCTCTTGACGTCATCACCTGTGGAGGTGAACTTACCCTTGGCATTGGTGCCATATATATATATGTTGTTTTTTTGTTTTTTGTTTTTTTGAGACAGGACCTCGCTATGTAGTTCAGGCTGGCCTGAAACTCACAGAGATCCTCCTGCCTCAGCCTCCCGAGTGCACCACACACCTGGCCCACCTGTGCTCTTCTTTATCATGCCTCTTCATGTGGTGCACTTCTTATCTTTTTTAAAAAACTGTTTTTACCATTAGTACATTCTGTGAGCACTGTCTTTAGTATGTTTTAGCTGCGTCCTTTATGACATGAATCAAATGTTCCCCACAGAGATGGATGCAATGCAGTGTACTCACTAACACACGTGGCCCATGGCTTTTCTCTGTGATAATCCGCAGCTAGCACCACTGCGTAGCCAACTGACTTCCTTCCTATGGTCCGTATGTACCTAGTGAGCGGCCTTAGCCGCGTTCCTGGCATCGTGGCTAAAAGCTGTTTCTCTTTCCCCATCACTTCCTCGTTTCTGCATCTTCCCAATTTCATGGCACAAAAGGTCCTCAAAAACGTGCCCCTGGAATTCACATCTTCCCTGTAAACTGAGAATTCTCTCTCTCACACGTGAGCCAGTGTTGTGGCGTATTCAGACGACTCCCCAAAGCCTCATGCACACGTAGGAGGGCTTTTGGGGTGGCTGGGTCTACTGGGGAGGGGTGTAAGGGGTACAGGAAGCAAATCAAGCTCCTTAGAGAAGCACAGGAAAATCTGTAGTATCTAAGATATATTTTGCCCTGATTGATGTGTCTTGAAATTTTGTTTCATTTTTTTTCCCTTTTTTCTCTTTGAAATAAAATGGATTTGGGAAACAAAAGTGGAAAAAAATCCATTGTGAAAAGGTCTTCAAACTGTCAAACTTAGCTTTTATATATAAGAGAGGCTGGGCACCTGACAAGGAGGGCTCAGGGGGTGGGAATGTGGAGTGCTGGCTCAGTTCGGATATTTAAACCCCATTCTTCCCTTGACCGACACTCTAACCTGCTCATAGAATATTGCTTAGGCTTGGAGCTGTGGCGGCACTGAGGATCGAACACCGGGTTTGGCTTCAATTCTTTCAGTTCTTCAGCTCTAAGGGCAGGTATCTGCAAAACTCCTGACATTTTTTAAATAGCAGAGTCATAAAAAGCCCCTAGCTGTCAACTGACAACTTGAGCTCCTAACTATTTGCTGTGCTCTGAGATATTCTGCAGTGTTAGAAGCAGTCCCACTGCCTCTAGTCCTGAGCCTGCGGTGACAGCCTGGGGAAGCCCAGAGCCCAGCCTTCCGCTGGGACCTCAGAGCAGGAGCCCAAAGGGAAGTTGCCCCGAGTCACCTCACTGCCGTGCGCCCTGGCTGGTGAAATCCCCTGTTTAAGATTGGCACCTGCCCTTCGCCTCACCCTGTAGTCTGAGCAGTCGCAGGCTCTACACCCAACATCAGCTGGTTTCCTGAAACAGCATTCAATGCACGGCTCACGGGTAACTGGAGACCCGGGCAGCGGTCAAGAGGAGTTACATGGACAATACCGCAATCAGCACCCCACCGGAGCTGGTCCTCGGGGACGCCCGCCACGGCCTCCTAGCACCAAGCTCAGCAAGCACGGCTGTCTCCCGGGAGTGCTGGTGACACCCGAATCACCCTGCCTGCCAACCCCGGGCTGCTGCCACCGAGGCCAGAAAGAAGACTCCGCTGTCCTTGTTTCTCTGTGTCATTAGTTTCAAATTCAGAATCCCAGGTGGGTGCATCTGATTGGCACAGGCAAGGTCAAGGGCTGACATCCCAGCTGGCAGCGGACCCAGAATACTGGGTGTCTTCATTTGCACGTCTCTCTGGGAGGCGAGGAATCCCTGCGGCAGGCAGGAGTTCAGACTGCACATGAATCCCAGTCGGCACGGGAATGACACGGACACACACGGGGGCTCTGGGCCAGAGTTTTATTTGGTACACTCGGCACAGTGCCCATCCCACAGCAGGCTGGAACAAGCAGCAGGATGGCAGACCTTCCCCAACCCCTGCAGTCAGGATCTGGTCAGGAGCACAGCCGTTTTTGTTTGTTTGGTTTTTGTACTAGGAATCGAACTCAGGACCTTATGCTTGCCAGGCAGGCGCCTATGCCACTGAGCTATATTCCCGGCCTGGCACAGTTATTGCAGAATGGCAGCCTACGGGATTCGGTGAGTGCGGTGTACGTGGGACAGCCAAAGTCTCAGGAAGACAACAGAGATCAGTGACCAGGAGGGTCCGATGGCTCTTCCCGATGCCTGGGCCAGAGAGGAAAACTCCGAACTGACTACAGTCAACTGTCTTTCACTGTCAGGGACCAGAAAAGGCAGGAATAGACAGACAGAAAGCACAATTCCTGCATACGCAGGCCGGGCAGATATTCGTGCTCTGTTTTCAGGTACACTGTGTCCCTCACACCTGCGCTGAACATTTCAGGAGAACCCCGCAGGACCGCTGCACCCCCTTTCCCCTTCTGCATGGTCTCTTGGGATTTTTTAGGTGCTTAGTTCTTCACCCACTGCCCTGATGGGACAGCAGGTGGGCAGGTATCCCCGCCCAGCGGAAAGCGGGCAGGGAGAGTCTGGCTGCCCCACGGGGCCAGCATGCTGTGACGCAGTGGCACTCCCCGAGTCCTGTGGGTGGGGGCTCCTGGCCCCGAGGTCTACTGAGGTGCTGTCAGATGCTGTCGGGAGGACACCTGACTTCCTGAATGGGGATGCCAGTATGACCAGGGGCTGCTGGCCACCTCTGCCCTCCCCACAAGCTTTCCCCGTGGACTGTCCTATGGCCACAGCAGCTGGAAACCTGCAGCCTGTCCTGGACACCATAATAGATACCAAGTGGGGCACACACACATGCGGGCCGGGGTCAGGAGGCTGGCGAGGCCTTGTCCTGATTAGCAGACCACCCTGGCTTGGCAGGCGGGGGGGTGCCAGGGAAGCACCTCAGTCTGCAGGAGCATGAAGACCAGTGCTGGTCACCTGCCAGAGGCTCCTCCTGCAGGACCCGCAACCCGCATCTGGACGGTGGCCTCTCGTCTCTTTCCGAATTCTTTTTGCTCTGCTGTCACGCTGGCCTTTCCTTTTTCCTGCGGGTGATATAATTCAGTGAAATGTCTCCCCCAAGCGCGATGAAGTCAGTGACGCATGTCCTGGCAGGCGTTTCCCCTGCTTCCTTTGTGAATTATTTGGTGTTAGGCCCACTCGTAGTGACTCTTTGAACCCCCTTGTTTTGAATATATAATAAATGTGTTCCATAGTGTTTGGTCCAGAAGGTACACACCTATTTTATAATGATATTCTTTTCCTTGCTGCTTGATTACAGAAGCTCTTAGATGCTGGTCAGCTGTCACCACCGCCCACAGGCTATCATCACACGGACCACTCCTGGAGTTCTTAACATTTCGTTCCTTCTTTCAATTTCTACCATGTCTACATTATGAACAGCTGACAATAAGGAGGACACGTTTTTTCTTTCCACTGCACAGCAGACTTTTCCTCTCTGATCTGCTCACATCTCCCCCTCCTTTAGTTCTTTCTTTTGTAGCTCTTTTGGTAGTTCCTGTCTGTCCGTCCTGGTGTCCCAATGTGTCTGTTCTGCACTGAGGACACCACTGTGCTCCAGGGCAGTAGAAGTTATACCTAACGTGCTTTTACAATATGTTGACGATAGCACAAATGTGTTATTTTTTCACAAAATAAGCAGAACATTTAGATTTCACGAGAAACAAGCATCAAAGGTGAATGCAACACTCAACAAGTATGGAAAAAAATAGTCCCTTGGGGGAAGCTGTTCAGTGGTTACAAAGACATTTCAGTTAAAACTAAATTTATCAACTCCTATGGTTCATCTTCAAAGACCAATCACATTATAACCAGGCAAGTTCCAAAGATCCGGTTCTCCTTGGAAAGAAAACAGAAGTTGAACAGGGTGTTATGGCTGGAGTGCAGATGTCCCCGAAGCCTCAGGCGTAGGTGGGGCTCTCTGGAGTGCAGGATCTAGGCTGTGTACAGCTGGGATCAAGGGTGTATGGCACTAAACCAAAGCACAGATTGGAATGCACACAGCTGTGGGTGTGGCTGGAGAGGATCCCAGGCTTGCAGCCAGGAGGGAATGCAAAGGGACAGGAAGGCGGCCGCTCCTGCTGCTGCCTCCTGCAACTGATGCCCTTCCGGCCACGCAGCCTTGCCTGTGAAGTCAGCCACTAGGGACGAAACCTCTACAAACTGAAATGAAATAAATCTTTCCTCCATCTGGTGGGTGTCAGGCATTTTGTGTCAGTAGCAAGACGAGGGCTCGCAGCTCAATGGTAGTGTTTACCTAGCAAGTGCAAAGCCCGAGGTTCAACCCCCAGCATTACCAAAGAGGAAGCAAATGACCTTCAAACTTAGGAGTCCACCTTCCCACATTCCAACAAGCAAGTTTCCTCAATGATAAATCAAATCAATGCAGACTGTAAACCATGCAATGTCTTTTATTACATATAGGCTTTTACAATAATCCCTTCAATCTCTCCATACACAGGCATAGGTAAGCGTGCTGTTTAATGTACTGGAACTTTCGAGCTTAATCGCTGCCTAGAGGTGGGAAAACTGTCCCCAAAGCGTGCTTAACCAGGAGGCCAATGCATCTGCCGACCGCCGAGAACGTGGAGGTGGACGTGATAGACGGACTGTCCCCCATCTGCACCTTCGTTGATCACCATTCGATAACCTCTGCTCAGGCCCAGGTCAGCAGCACATTTCTTGCCAACAATCATTAAATGCCCAAGAAGCTGGAAAAGAAAGACGGTTTCTTCAGCACTGGCAATTATAGCTTCTTGCTATTCAATAACGAACTATCAGTATGAAATATCAAAGTAAAACTGTCAAGTTCAAACACTGCTTGGGCAAGCATTTAGAAATTCTCTTCATCCTAATGATTTACAATTACAGTCGTTAGAATTAAGGGTTTAAACCGGTGCTTGCTTCTCCTTTGATCACTCTTTCGTCTTCCTAGACAGGGTCTCGCTACGTAGTGCAGGCTGACCTTGACAGCAATCCTCCTGCCTCAGGCTCCCACATGCCAGGATTACAGATGTGCACCATGACCAGCTTTACTCTTTCTTCAGAAGGTTCTGCTATGTTTTAAAATCCGGCCTTGAATTTGCTGCGTATAGCCCAAACTGGCTTCCACCTCACAAGCCCCCTGCCTCTGTGCTGGGGTTACAGGTGCGTGCTACAACACCTCATGGCATTACTAATTTCAATAAATGAGCTAGAGACAAAATCTGCTCCATTAAAAACCATTTTAGCTGAACATGGTGGCAGATGCCTATAATCCGGTAATTGGGAGCCTACGAGCGGTGCAAAGCTCAAGGCAGCCACGCAGCTCAGCAACTGTCTCCAATCTAGAGGCCAGAGCGCCTCAACCAAGTTCTCCTGTGGAAGCTGTTTCGGAACTCAGCTCTACTGAAGCTGCTACTGCTCTGACCTCTTGAGCTGTAAAGTGAGGCTGCTGGGGTAAACCTCCACCTTGTTTTTACAGCCTTACGGCTACCGCTGAACTTTCACACTTTCCACAAATATTCTGGAATCAACTTGTCAAGATCTAATATTTTCATTTTAATTGGACTAAATCTTCATTCTAAACTGAGAAAAACCATCCTTAAGTCGTGAGGCTGTGAACAGCACATCCCTCCATTTCCTTAGACCGTCAACAGTCTTTACAAAACACTTTCAGTTCTGCCCACTGCCCCATGCCAGTTACAGCGGCTCGGGCCCCTGAATCCTGGGTCAGCACCTCTCGGTCTCCCAACAGGAAGCCTTGGCCCTCAGGCTGCGGTCACCACAGAACCACATTCGCTAAGGGGTCTGTGTGAAAGACTGAGACCAGACTCAGGGTTAGCACACATGGTTCAGTCTAGACCACACGGAACAAGAAAAGACGGGACACGCAGCATTAACTCACTCTGACAAAGTAAAAGGGAATAAGGTTCAGTGGATTGGGATGCACGATGAGGAACCTGGAGACACTAAGGTTTCCTCTGGAAAACCAGGCGCTCTACCCGAAGTCTGAAAATGCTGATCTGGGTAAACAGATACCATAAATCCTCATGGAAAGAACTTCACTTACAGGTAAGATAGTGAAAATCTACATATGTAATTTTTTTTTTTTTTTTTGGAAGTTAGGCTCTAGCTTGCTCAGTATCCAGGCTTGCCTTGAACTCCCTGCGTGGCCCAGGCTGCTGCATCCTCCTGCTTCAGCCTCCTAAGTGCTAGGATTACGGGCACACATCACTAGGCCTGGCTAAAATTTACATATACATTTTTGAATTAAAAAAAAAATCTTTCAATGAGATTTAATTTTGCCTTCTTAAAGGGTTTACTTAACAAAATTCATCTTGTGGCCAGGCGTGGTAGTACATATGCCTGATCTCAGACAGGAAGATCACAAGCTCAAAGCCAGCCTGGGCAACTTAGACTTTGCCTCAAAATAAAATGAAAAATGGCTGAGGATACAGTTCAGAGCTCTCTGGGCTTTACACCCAGCCCTGCCTCACCACTACAACATTTTCTTGACAAGATTGAACTATAAAAATTATAAATGAATTACAGTATTGTGTAACCCTAACCAATAGGATCTGAGCTGTTAAAACCCATCTGACCAGTGACTGGGAAACGTTGTGCTTCTCAAGTTATACTTTACTTTCACAGGTTAGCTAGTTCCTTTTTACAGAGCTCAGAGCTAAGTAACTGGTTCTGCTCATCCCATTTCTGGGCTGCTGTCTCTAATCCAGGTCAGCAAACTGTGTCTGCAGGGCCCGAGACTAAGCATTGTCAGTTTGCGGACTACAGCGGCGTCTGACAAAACCACAGTGACACAATTCTGTCCTCATGGTGCAAAAGCAGTCCTCTGGCCAATAAGTCAGAGCACTGTGTTCCAATAAAACTTTATAAAAATAGGCAGCCAGCCAGATATGGCCTACAAGTCAGATTCCCGGTCCCAGCTGAATCTGCAAATTTAGTAACCAAACTTTTAGGCTCACGAGGCATGTGCGTTTGAACTAAGACTGAAGAGGTTCGCCGACTTTATGGTATTTATTTTAGGTAGACGTGACTTACTTTATTTGGATTTTCATATGACCTCCTTTCCAGTATGTGCCTTAGATGTTTTTACGCAAACAAACCTTCAGTCTTCATCACTAGAATTTCAGTGATAAATATGCCCTATTTACACATTTTTTCCCTCATTTCAGTCTCATAGCACGCCAATTCTTGGTCTTTAGACATGTTGTTAAAATGCATATTATTAAAATGAATATATATATATATATATTTTAGTCTTTTTGAGACAGGGTCTCCCTATGCAGTTCAGGCTGGCCTTCAGCTCACTTTGTGGCCCAGGCTGGTCTCAAACTCACAATGATCCTCTTGCCTCAGCCTCCCGAGTGCACCGCCACGTATAGCTTACATATAATGTTTCAATGTTATTTTATCAAAATCAACCTGTACTATAAATTACCCCAATGGTCATTAAGTTTTGCCTTAAGAAGAAAATGTGGTATCACAAAATTTAACTTCCTAATTTAAAAAGCAGTAGAATAAAAACCACATTAGAAATGTACTTACACTTTCATCGTCATCTTCTGCTACAGAGATCTGGGCAATATGTTTCTTTGGAATCACCAGAAAATGTGTTGGTGCCTGGGGGGAAATGTCATGGAAAGCAAGGCACTGTAGAAAAGGAAAATAAAAATCAAAGTTTAGTTCTCAGCCAGTAGGCTCCACATACTATTTTTCAGCAAGTATTACGAGCACCAACCACACAGGTGGCACTGAGATGCTAAGAAAACAGAAGTGTACAAGATACACCTGGTCCACAGCCCTTCTCATGGGCTGAAAGAGTCACACAGAAAGACTGGCTTTAAATAAACTGATGCAATGCTCAAAGTCATGCACATCACAAGAAGAGTGAAAGGGCTGAGTGTCACTCAAGAACCTGCCTTAGGTCGGTCAGGGACCATCGTGACACTAAACTGTGACCCAGGGCTGGGAGTCAGCCCTGAGGACCTGGCCAGTCTGAGGCATCTCAGATCTCACGTGATTCTTCACACTAGACTGGATGGATGCACAGCTGGACACGTAGAATCATGACTTTCCACCCTCAAGGCTTGGTCAGCTGCCCTCCCCTCTACTAAAAGGGTCCCCTAGCCCTCAATCCCGACTTTGGTCTAACATAAAACACCATTCAGTCCTAACTTGAAATGTTACTAATTCTTCCCTTCCCAGGATACATATAATTTCTAATGAAGCCTGATTCTCTTTCCCCAGGTCCGAGTCCTGATAGTGCTTCGGGCTTCTTTCCCCCTTCCCTGAACTACTTGAGAAACCTGTCTTTTCTGCTGCAGAGCTGCACTCTGGAGGCAGCAGCATTGAGATAAAGGAGCCGGCACTCCCTAAATCCCCGGGAGTGTGCCACATAGGGTCCGACGCCTCTGCTCAGCAGAAACCATCCACATGCATTTCCCCCAGGAGTGGTTTCACTCTGCAGCGCCTGTGAAGCGCTGCGTCATCCAGTTTCCGGCTGCTGCACTGGGGTCCAGAGGTCATGCTATGGATCATTTATAAAATGCAACGGCAATATTTTCCCCCAAAAAAGGCTTTTTCTAAAACAAACTTTTCTCCTGACTCGGGACACACACATCAGTTTAATTAACACCCAGCCCATCGGGGACCCTTTTAGGGGCCACCTGACTCCTGAATCGGGCTCCCCGCGGTGCGCTCTGCCCGCCTCTCCCGCCCCGCGGCGGCAGGCCCGAGCCCGCACGTGTAGCCGGCGCTGAGCGGCGGGCGCGGGGCTGAGGGCGGCAGCCGGGGTCTCCGGGCCCGCGAAGTCTAGGCAGAGGCCGGGGCGGGCGACCCCTTGAGGCCGCGCCGCTGATAAGGCGTAACCGGAGCCCCGGCACGCGCCGCGCCCGCCGCGGAGCCGCCAAAGGCCACGCGGGCGCTCCCAGGCGGCGGCCCTGCCCTGCCCGGCCCGCCCCGGCCCTCCGGAGACCCGCGACCCCGGCCCGACCCACGAGGCGCGGCCGTGCCCACCCGGTCGTCCTCGAAGATGATCTTGGCGGGGATCTCCTTGCGGATGATCTTGCCGAAGATCGTGTCGCCGCCAGGCCGGGCGACCTGCGCCTTGGCAATCTCGTCTGCCATCGCTGCCTCCCTGTGGCGCGCGCACGGCCGCGAAGCCCCGCGGGACGGGGACGAGGACGAGGGCGCGGCGCGCAGCGGGCGGTGCTCTGCGCGTGCGCACTGGGCCCCGCGGAGCGGCCCCCTGCCTCCGGCCCCGCGCGGCGTGCGCTGCGCTGCGCGCTCTGATCGCCTGGGGGCGCTCACGGGCAGGCTGAGCGCGGCCCTGCAGAGGCGGCTGGTGCAGGTCTCTGCCTGCTATATGTGTGCAGCCCCGGCCCGCGCGGGCCCCTCCAGCCCTGCCTCCAGGCCCTAACGACGGCGAACGCACCAGCACCCCGGGGTTTCTGTGTCCATCCCCAGCTGGGAGTCGTTTGCAAACTTCCAAACTGTTCTAGACTTTCCCAGAAGTCGTCCCACTGTGACGTCCCAATGCAAGACGTCCCACTGTGAGCGAAAGCTTATTGCGTTCCACACTCCCCTCCATTTGTTTACGCCTAGAAAATGTTAATTTTTAAATTATTATTTTGAAGCCGGGCATAGTGGTGCACGCCCAGAGGCTGAGGCAGGAGAATCGCCGTGAGCCCTATAGTGAGGTTGAGACCAGACCAAACTGCAGAGACCCTGCCTCAAAAAATTATTATTATTATTATTATTATTATTATTATTATTATTATGGTCCTGGGGATTGAACCCACTTCAAATTGAGCTTCGTACATCCCCAGTCCCCACCCCACACTCTGTGAGTCTCATCGAGTTTCCCAGGGTGTGCATATTTGCAATCCTCCTGCTTGAGCTTCGTGTTTAGCTGAGATTGTAAGCTTGCAGCATTACACTAGGCTTTTTTCTTTTCTTTATATTGGTAACGGGGATCGAACTCATGACCGCGTGATTGCAAGGCAGGTGCTTATGCCACTGAGCTTAATCCCCAATCCCTGTTTCCTTTCTTTTAAATTTAGTTTAATTTTATTATTTTGGGTTTTGTAGTTCAGGGTGGTCTTGAACTCACTGTGTAACCCAGGGAGGCCTCAAACTCTGCGATCCTCCTGCCTCAGGCTCCCAAATGCTGGCATTTCAGGCGTGCACATCACACCCTGCTTCTTTGCTCCTTATAAAAATCGTGGACTTCATGTTATGTCCACTTCCTCCTCTTTCATTTTGGAGTGCATTTCCCCCTCGCCACGGTTACTAAGGACTTCCACTTGAACCCTTAGCTCGCTGGTCATCCTCTTCCAACACTGGCTTCTGCTCCTCCCTCTCTGGACGCTGCTTTCTCCTCCGCAGCCAGTGATTCCCGAGCCGTCCACACCTCTCAGCGGCCCTGCTTCTCCAGCTCGGTGCTCTTCTATAGCTAACAGTTTCTGTAGTAAGAGACCTAACTGCACCTCCTGAGCTGCTTGTTAGGATTACCCCTGACCCACACGTCTTGGCAAAATTATTGATAGGGTTCACTTCGGTCTCAAAAGTGTCCCCTGTTTTACTTTTGCTATTAAAGGCATGACTGATGCATGTGGTGAAATCAAGTACAGTGATGGCTATGAATGAGACAACAGGTTTGAAAGCATGTTAACTTCCTTTCATAACCACAGCAGAAGAATCCAAATCCGATGGGGATTTCAGGGTGGGGCCCTCTTAGTGTTTCGAGGGGCACACTTGCTAGTGACCCTCGAACCAAATCACTACATTATTACCGACACAAGGAAATGTTTTGGTTTCTTTTTTTTGTTTTTGTTTGTTTATATTTGAGACAAGGTCTTGCTATGGAGTGCAGGCTGGCCTTAAATGCACTATGTAGCCCCAGGCTGGCCTCAAATTTGGGGCAATCCTCCTGCCTCAGCCTCCCAAGTGCTGGGATTACAAGCACCATGCTTGGCAAGGGAAAATTTTTGAAGGAAAAACCTGTGATGTATTTAGAGGTATAGGTATCATGTCTGCACCTTACTCCCAAATGTTTCAAAAGGGGGAAAATGCCTTAGAGACAAGCATGGAGATAGGAAGGGATAAAGTCATTTTAGTAAAAAGTATATACAATTTCTTTTCTTTTTTTTTCTTTTTTGCTACTGGGGATTGAACTTAGGACCTTGTGCTTGCCAGGCAAGTGCTTATGCCGCTGAGCTTAATCTCCAGCACAGCATATACAATTTCTATGTGCTTTTCTTGCAACTTTTCTGAAATCTGAAATTGTCAAAATAAATAAAAGTAAGTGTGCTATTTTTCTCAAAGCTACTCCAGAGGTTGAAGGAGGAGAATTTACCAAGGCCAGGAGTTCAGGGCCAAGCTGAGCAACATAGCAAGATTCTTTTTTTTTTTTTTAATTTTTAAGATTCTGTCTTTTTTTTTTTTTTTTTTAAGATTCTATCTTTTTAAAAAAAAAAAAGCTGTGTGTGCTGTTTTGGATAATAAATAATAGGGTCAAATTTCACCAGGTCCAAAGACTGCACCGACTATCATGACTCAAGTAAAGTACCTACTTCTAATTTACCTTTTCCCTTAATTCCAGACTGTTCTAAGAGACCCATTAACCGATTACTGCTGTTTACCAGGCACTGAAATTTACTTTTACTCCCCAAACTTCCTTTTCATAATTCTGTGTCTGCTACAATAGCCGAAACCTGGACGCCATCCACAAATCATCTCCGTACATTGGAGAGATGCCATGGCTTCCCTTCCCTTCTCCCCCACAGTCGATCCTAGTCACTGTACTCTGGCCTGGAGCACTTGAGGGGCCTCCTGATGGGAGAGCCTCCCTGCCTGTGCTGTGGTCAGCTGCCACACAGCACTGCTGATCGAGGTAAAGTAGAGATCACGTTGCCAGCATCCCCAGCAAGCTGTTGCAAAGTAAAATCTGTAGTCCTTGCCTTGGCTCATAGGGCCTGATGTGACCAGGCCTAGGGCTGCTTTTCCAACCTCATCTCCTTCCATTTCGACTTAGTGCCTGGCTTCACTCAAGCTGGGGGCCGTAAGTGGAACATGCCCACCTGTCCTAACTCCTGAAGCCTGTGAGTGTCACTTTATGTGGGAGAGAGGGCTTTACAGATGATTTAATTTAAGGATCTCATATAATGGAGAAGGATAAACTGGAGACTTTTATAGGTAAATGGATGCAACTTGAGACCATACTCATTAGTGAAATAAATAAGACACACTTGTAAACATCATATTGTCTCATTAGTGTGAGAAGTGGGAAGAAACATGTGTATATGTGTATGTAGATGTATGCAAAAAGTTAAGATAAAAATAAATAAGGATCTCAAATCAGGGACCTTTTTTTGTTGTTTTGAGATAGAGTTTCACTATGTGGTTCAGGCTGGCCTTGTACTCACTTTGTACCCCAAACTAACCTAGAAATCTCTGCAATCCTCCTGCCTCCTAAGTGCTGGGATTACAGATATGCACTTCCACACCAGGGGGACAGTTCTCAATGATCGAAGTGGACACCATTGTGATCACAGTTTTAAGTGGTAGAAGTGATGGATGGATTTTAAGTGGTAGATGTGATGACTGAAGTGGGTGTGACTCAAAGGTTTAGAACTGCTCCATTGTGGGCTTTGAGGATGAATGAGGCCATGAACAAGGAACATTCTGGAAGCCATAAGTCAGATGGGGTTCACTGAGCTGAAATCAAGGTGTCTGCAGGCTGCCCTGCAGGAGCCGGTCACTTGCTTCTCTGGCTTCTAGAGACTCCCTGTTGGCCTTAGCTCATGGCCTCTCCTGCTAGCAGGAGAGGAAGTCAGCAGCAGAGAGTCTTCTCTCCTTGTCCCTGCTTCCTTCCTCTGTTGGGAGCCACCACATTGCCGAGCCGCCGCATATAGCGATCATGCGGCCTGTGGTAAAGAGTAAAGCCTGAGTTAGATTACCCCTCCCATCGAGCACGTTAGTTTCCTGCTTACCGCGTAAACAACCCGCTCAATAATATGTTAAGCCAATCAGCTTGCCTTGCTTACTTTAACATGATTGGACACTGTATCCGTATATATACTGGTGCCACCCCTGGGGGGAAGTAGAAGCCCGGAAGGAGCCGCGGAGAGCGGACCGGTAGAGGCTTCGGAGCGAAGCACGGAAGGAGCCGCGGGGAGCGGACCAGAGGAGGCTTCGGCTGGGAGCGATCCCAGGGCAGGCTGTATGGAGAGAAAATAAAAGAAAAGGTTGTCCACTGCCAGACTTTGTCGTGTGTCCTTCCTGCCGGCCGGGAGCGACATCGACATTCCTCCACTTCTAAGAATCCTTTCCTGGGCCACCAGACAACCCAGGATTGTTTGCCCATCTCAAGATCCTTCCTTGAATCCACCACATCTGCAGAGCCACTTCTGACCTCGGAGGTGAGGTGACCAGAGGTTCTGGGGATCAGAACAGCCATTGTTCAAAGGGTGTCTTTCACTGCCCTGTGTTGCTCCGTGGGCTTTCATGATGGGCTTGCTGTGTCTTCTGTTCTGTCTTTGGCCCTGTACTTTGAGACAGAGACACACCAGGATGTGTTCCTAGAGCAACCAGAGTGGTGAGCAGCCACCTCACTGTGGAGCAGGTGGAAGAACCATACAGGTGATTTAAGAACAGGTCAGTCACAAGGCTGGACCGGTGGCACCACGGGAGCTCTATTTCCCAATATCAGCAGATTAGGGACTCTGGTGAGCTGAATGCAGGACTCTAGTTAGTATCATAATCAATTTTTTAAAATTGGCCTATAATTCTAAAGTGAAAATAAAGAACAAAAACATTTCTTTAGCATTCATGTTGTCAGCATTCAGAAGGCACTAACAGCGCAAGATCACCTTTATTGTTTCTGGGTAAAAGACAATGCCCAGGTGTAAGTGCTTTGCTTATGATAAATGCCATTCTGCGGGCAGGTGTGGAGGCACAGGCTGCAGTACTCTGGGAAGCTAAGGCGGGAGGGTTGCAATTCAGCAATTTAGTGAGACTGTCTCCAAATTAAAGTAGAAAGAGCTGGCGAGGAAGCTCAGTACAGAGGTTGAGTTTAATCTGCAGGGTGAGGAGAATGCAAAAACAAAAACCCTTCAGCAAATCTACTGCACCTGATTAATTATTTTAAAAAATCAACAATTATCTTGTGGTTCTCATGATGATTTAAAATATAGTTAAAATTGCCAGGTGTGGTAGTACACCTGTAATCTCAGCACTTGAAAGGCTGAGGCAGGAGCATCTCCTTGAGTTTGAAGCCAGCCTGAGTTACATTGTGAGCTCAAGGACAGCCTGAAATACAAAGCTAAACCCTGTCTCAAAAAACAGAGCCAGGGATACAGCTCACTGCGTATCACCTGCCTGGCAGCATGAGGTCCAAAGTTTGATTCCTGGTACTGAAAAAAAAAATACAAACAAACCATATATAAAAATGATATAGGTCATGAAGGCGAAAAAGGCTTAGAAATCTATTGGTCCAAATCTCCTGTCTTTGATAAAAAGTCAGTTAATAAGTTAACCTGAAAAGTGGGGTGGAGACGGTGAGGGTCGGAGGCTGGGAAAATGATGCTTATTAAATAGGAAGCATGAGATTTTTCCTGATGCTTGCAAATTCTAGGTTAATAGTTAAATAAATATTTCACAATAGCTTATGAATATGATGCAGCTAATAAATTAGACATTTTCTACTCCCTCAAAATCAAGGAGTGGGCCAAGCAGGCAGGATATTTAGGGGGGTGGGAATAGTCTTGAACAGGCACAGATTTGTATCTGAGACCTCTATTTACTAGTTGTGTGAACTTGAGAAAGTAGCTTCGAGGGAATAAATGAGGAATGTACAAATTATAAATCTTTGTTTTGGTTTTTTTTTTTTTTTTTTTTTTTTTTTTGTCTTTTTCGTTTTTATCGGTACCAGGGATTGAACTCACCACTGCCTGCTTGCAAGGCAGGTGCTTATGCCGCTGAGCTAAATCCCCAGCCCCCCAAATTATAAATCTTATAAGCATTCCAATTAATGTCCGTTGTAGTTAGGGCTTGGTTCTTATTTGTGCTTAATATGTCCAAGGACGCAGTCATAACTAGGAGCACTTAAAATACGGGTTCGCTAAAAGGCGACCATAACTCATAAACAGGAGGTAATCACATGTACGGTGTGTGCAAAGCAATTCATTTAACACCAGCCTAATGTGTAAACCAGAATCTCTCTGGCCCGGAAGTGACTCTGCCCCTAGAAAATATGGCTTCCAGGGCATTTCCGTTCGCCTCCGGCCCATAATTGAGTGCCGAGGCTTCTCGCGGTGTTTCACTTGCCACCTGTTTAGCAAGGCGCTCCCGCGGCTTTTAAAGGAAGGCGGGGCTACGAAGGAGTTGCTGCGTGGTTATTGGTTGCGCCGCGTGAGGAACGTGGCTTCGGGGGTAGACGTCAGTGCCTGGATGTGATTGGTTGTTAAGAGGCGGGGCGACTTGACCGATAGAGAGGTGGCAGGCGCCACGCAGAGAGCCATGGGTCAGGCGGCCAAGGTGACAGGGCCCGGCAGCGGGTGGGCGCGGTGCCCAGGGGGAGGGTTAACCGTGGGCGCGGGGAAGGTGAGCGGAGTGTGCGGGCTGGGGCTCCGGAGCTTGCGTGACCCGAGGGGCCTTCGAATTTGCGCGGGCGCGAGGGAGGCCGGTGCCTGGGGTCTGGCTGCTGGGGAGAGACTGCTCTGCGCTGTTATCTCCGCCGGGCTGTTCGCCGCAGGGCCCCTGTCACATCCCTGGGAAGTGAGGGAGATACCAAATGCAGTCCCGCCGCTGTGGTGGCGCACACTTGAAGTCCCAGTTCTCTGGGAGACTGAGGCAGGAGGATTGAGAGTTCGAGTCCCGCTGGGGCAATCAAGTAAAATAAAAAGGGCTTTGTGGCTATAGCTTAGTGATAGCCCACCCGTGGGTGACATCTCTTTATTGAGATTTGTAGCTGTCACTGGCGAAGCGGGCACAGTGGGAGACACGACTTGCTTGGAAAAGCAGTGCTATGGTTGATCAAAAATAAGGAGTCACCACACAGTCCCCATGAACTCAGTGCTTATCACAGCAGTCACGAAAGCCGAAGTGTGTGTTAGGCCAGGAGTCGCAATGTTACCTGAAGCAGGGAGACTGCAAATTCAACCCCAGCCTGGGCAATTTGGCAACTTAGTATGACCCTGACCCAGAAAATTTAAAAAAGGACTATGGATGTAGCTCAGTCAAAGGCCCTGGATTTAATCTCAACTACTGGCCCCCTGGGGGTGGGGGAAGTTTAAAAAGTATTGAGTGCCCCAAATAGTTTTTAATATAGTTAGCAGCCAACGTGTAACCTATGTAAACTATAATGCTGTTTTACCATATGGAATGCAACATTGACCGTCTTCTCTTTGATAAACTGGTCTAGCTGGTGGGGAGATTTCACTTATTTGTTTATTTTTTGAGACAGGGTCTCACTATGCAGTTCAGAATGACTGTGAAGTCTCTATGTAGTGCAAGCTGGCCTCAAACTCTGAAGCTATCCTCCTGCCTCAGCCTCCTGAGCGCTGAGATTATAGGCCTGCACCACCAACCCAGTGTGATTTTAAAGTTATTATAATTGTAATAACCTCTTAAAATTGTAAATAAGGTGTGTCGTGAAGCTAAATATGGGATTTAATCAATTGGTTAAAAAAGAGATCATAGGGGCTAGAGATCTAGCTCAGTGGCACAGCACCTCCTTGGCAAGTGTGAAATCCTAAATTCAATTCCCAGGACACCCCCCCCCAAAAAAAAAGGGAAGAAATCACAAGAAATGTAAGCTGGAACCTGAAGTTTGTCATAATAAATAATAAAGTGCACCTGAGCTACAAGCATTCAGTGAGGTGGAATGTTTATTCATCTCAGTGGAAAAACCACAGAAAGCCCAGCTTTGGCAGAAGTGAAAGTGAGACACAGCAAAATCTGGGGGTTTCCCAGCTATGCCAGGCTGGACTCAAACTCATGACCACCCTCCTGCCTCAGCCTCCCAAGTACTAGGATTACAGATGCTGGCTAGTTGCTGGCTTTTGTACTAGTGGAGGCGAATTTCTTTCCTTTCCTTTTTTTTTTTTCCCCCATGATGCTGGCGATTGAACCCAGGGCCTTGCACACGTTAAGCATAGGCTCTTCTGTGCTGCCTTTAAACCCACATTTCTACCAACAACCTTTTCAAAGCACTCTAAACTCTTACTCTCCACATTATTCAGTTCCAGAGCCATTTCCACATTTTTAAATGCTTGTTAGAGCAGCACCCTATTTCTCAGTACCAAAATCTGTATTTCCGGTGACTCTTAAAGTACAAGTTAAACGTTCCTAGTCCAGACATCTGAGACATGAAATGTTGTGAAGTCTAAAAAATTTTGAGCATGAACCTGATGCTAAAAGAGTTTCGGATTTGGGATGTTCAACTCATAAAGCCCATGCAAGTATTAAAAGATAAATAAACTGAAAAAAGCAAACTGAAATCTGATCTCAAGCATTCTGGCTAGGGAATACTCAATCCGCCATAAATGGAGTGGCTCAAAACCACAGAAATGGATCACTTATGAGTTCTAGAGGGTGGGTGTCCAGACTGGATGTCATCAGGGCCACCGTCCCTCTCGGCTTCTTGTGTTTCTCTGGGTTCTGATGGCACTGCTAGGCGTTCACATTCCTTGGCTGGCTGCTGAGCGACTCCAGTCTGTGCTTTTGCTTCTGTGCAGCCACTGCTGAACATGAGTGTACTCTTGAGTGTCAGGTTCCTGGGAGACTAAGTTGGAGTGAAGGAGAGTCAGTGGTGGCAGAGTGACCTTAAGAAGTAGTTCCCAGGCCAGAGGATGTGAAAATGATTGGAGAGACATCCCCACATCTCCCTGTGGAGAGCAGGGTGTCTAAGGACAATCTACAGGTTTCTGTGTGAGAAAGCCAAAATCCTCCAGGAGCCAACACCAAGGAAGCAGGCTGGGGATGTGCCACAGTGCCGAGGCCCTTGGGTTCGACCCCTAGTACCACAGAGAAGAAAAAGTAAAAATAAAATAGAGACCCAAGCCCAGCACTCAGGAGGCTGAGTCAGGAGGAGTTCAAGGCCATCTGCAGCTACTTACTGAGTTCAAGTCCAGTCCAAACTACATGTAAGATCCTGTTTCAGAAAACCTAAACAAATAAATTAATTTTAAAAACCCAAGGATAGGCTGTATTGGGAGAACAATTAAACTTTAAAGTGAGAAATGGCCTCGGCCTATCAATAACATAAAATAACTTTTACCAAATGCCAGGCTGTTTTGTATCCTTTTTTCCTCTTTTCTCCGACTCAGAATATTCTTACTTTTTTGTTTTACTGTGTTTTGTTTGGCTTTGTGAGACAGGGTTTCACTGTGCAGTTCAGAACTTTGTAGTCCAGGCTGGCCTTGAACTCACAGGGATCCTCCTGCCTCAGCCTCCTGAGTGCTGGGATTACAGGTATGGGCCACCATGCTGGCGTAGGATATTCCTCAATCTGGGCATTCCAGTCTTCTGAGAAATTGCTGGTAAACATGGATTAATTATCTGAGGCACCTTTCTGGGCTCTGTTAAATAAGTTCACAGCCGGGTGCTGGCACCCACCCTGGCAGACTGCGCAGGAGGACCACAGTTGGAGCCTGCCTGGGTAATGCAGCCAGACCTAGTCCCAGAATAAAACATAAAAGGTGCCATGGATGTAGCACGGTGTAGACAGCACTTGGATTCAATCTCCAGTGCTAGAGGGGCTGGAATAACTCATTGTTTATAATTCCAGCACTCTGGGAGGCTGAGGCAGGAGGATTGCAAGTTCAAGACCAACGCAAGGCAATTTAGTGATTTAGCAAGACCTTGTCTGAAAATAAAAAATGAAAAAGTGCTGGAGATAAACCTTGGTACAAAGACCCTGAGTTCATTGTCTAGTATCACTAAAAAAATAAAAAATAAAAAAGATTCTGTATGTGATGTTAAGAGCAGATTAAACTTTCAGTAAATTAAGAAAGATGAGAAGTAATACTAAACTGGTGATGTTGACTACCTTAGGCTGGTATTCAGTGGAATTATTAAATAGCTTTCTCTCTCTCTCTCTCTCTTTTTTTTTTTTTACTGGGAATTGAATCTTTGGACAGCATATATTAAGCACTTGCTTTACCACCAAGTTATACCTCCAGTACCTAAAAGTTTCAAAATTTAAAATAAATCATATAGGGAGTTATTTTAGCAACCCTTGGTTTTCACTACATAGTCTGAAAAATAGTTTAAGAAACAGAAAGAATACTGTTTGAGTACTGTTTAATCCTTATAGTACAGTTATGTAAATTGTGCGCTTTTTTTCTTATGAGGTCTGAATTGATTCTCTTGGCAGGTTTTACAGCTCTTTAAAACACTGCACAGGACCAGACAGCAAGTTTTTAAGAATGATGCCAGAGCTTTAGAAGGTAAATGCATACCTCTTTCTTACCCCGTTGTAGCAAGTCTATTCTGGAGAGCTGCTATTCTGAGAAACTCTGCCTCTGTGGTCAAGACCATTTCAGGGAATAACCTTTACCGTCTCCCCCTGGTATTATGTTTTATGATAGCTTACATTATGCCAAAAATTTAAATGATCTGGTTTTTATAAAGAATCAGCGGGCTGGGGATGTAGCTCAGCGGCAGAGCACCTGCCTGGCAAGCACAGGTCCTGAGTTTGATTCCTGGTACCAAAAGAGAATCAACAAATACATTAAGTGTGCTGGTGCGCGTCAGTAATCCTCACACTTCGGAGGCTGAAACAGGAGGATGTCAGAGCATTCGAGGCCAGCCTGGACTCCACAGTGAGAGCCTCACACACACACATCAGCTAACCGAAGAGATGAGCATCAGAATTTCTGTTTTCTCCCTGGCTGTGTTCATCACACAGATTCCTGTTTTAATTCTTGCATCTGCTTTACCAAGTACCAGCAATTATAATTCCCAGTTTTGCAGATACGAAACCTGACAAACACGGAAAGGTTTTCTCTACATCCCCATACTTAGGGGAAAGTGGAGAAGTATAGCGGGGGTTGGTTCCAAAACCTGGGCTCTTCACACTGAAGTGCAGGAGCGCAGAGGAGGGCTTTCCGGTGTCCTGTACCAGCACAGACAGCAGGCTGTTGCTGTGAACTTTGAAGTGGAGCCGTTTTAAGAACAGCTACCGTGTTGTATATGTGCTCAGGGCCTGATGGTTGTACAGACGTGCAAGGCGCACTAAGGCTGATGACGGTGGACTGAGCTTTGCTGCCGTGATGATCTGAAGTCTTGGTGCTGTCTAGAAGTGAATGTTTTGTCACCTGCAGTGCATGTCTGGCAAGATGCTCAAAACTTCATGTATGTATTTTTGTTGCTGTATTTGTGTGTGTGTGCGTATGTTGTTTAACATAGTTGTATTTTTGCCATCTTAAAAAAACTTTAATGTAATTCTTAGATTAAATATAAGGCATTAATTTGGGTTCAGGAAAGAATTCAGGAGCTGTAGGTACCCAAGTGAAATTTGGAATAAGAAAAAACCTTTCTTTTTGTTTTGAGACAAGGTCTGACAGTGTTACCCAGGCTGGCCTTGGGTCCTCCTGCCTCAGCTCCCAAGTGCTGGGATAGAAAGATATTCAGACGCTAAAAGTTTCTTTTCTTTTTTTCCTTTTTTTAAGAAGAAATGTCCTAGCGTGTCAAAAGCTCTCCAAGAGATTTAGTACATTTTGAATGTTTTGTTTTGCATAAGGGCAAACCTTTGCTAGAGAAGTGAAAATTAATAACAACGTGTAAATTATTGTGAGGGGAATTATAAATTAGGAAAACAAATAACTCTTTTTTTTTTCTTTCTAGCAGCCAGAATAAAGATTAATGAAGAATTCAAAAGTCATAAAAGCGAGGCTTCTCCTAAGAAAATAGAAGAGGTACGGTCATTGAGTCTTTTAGCTCCAGTAAAACTGGTGAGATTATGTTGGCAAAGAGGAAATTGTGAAAGTAGTGGGGAGTGGAAAGCCAGACACGTCACTTGGCACCGAATGCCGTCACAGGGTGGCCGCCCTCACTGGTTAGGGGCCGCTCGGCCCCTCAGGACCGTCTGCCCGTAGCCAGACGCAGAGCAGCACCTGGAGTAGCCACGGTCAGGGCCAGACAGCTGTACCACTGGTCACTTGCTGTCATTGAAGGCACCACTGATACGATGCTTGCCTGTGAGCCACTCTTAATACATGAAAAAATGTGATTCCTGTTCTGTCTAATGTGTGCTCTAGCTTACGCAGGTTGTCTTCCCTACTAGGTCCTGAGCTATGGGAAGGCAGAGAAGGAGACCCTAGAAAGAAAATGAAAAATAGGAAACTATTTGCAGGGGTAGTCACTGGTTCTAAAAATTGGTTTGGTAAAAAGAAGGCACAAATTAGGAGATGTGTTCCGTGTTGAGTAGAATTTCCAAATCTGGTAAAAAATGAATTTATATTGGTAGAGAATACTTTGTGTGGGGGGGGGGGTAACTGGGGAATGAACTCGGAATACTGAGCTACATCCCAGCCCAGTTTTAATTTTGTTTGCAAGAAGATCTTGATAAGTCGTCCAGGTTGGCTTTGGAATTTGTGATTCTCCTGCCTCAGCCTCTCAAGCAACCTATTAACGGCATGCACCATCATGCCTGGCTAAAATACTGTTTTAAAAGAGTAAATACCTGAAGTGATTGAGCTAAAGACACAAAATGATACGGCCTACTTCCACCTCTATAATATAAACAAAGGGAAAGGTTTCACTTAAAGATATGCGAGGACAACGGTGTATATATTTATTTATGGCAGAATTTAGAGTGAATGTATAATCAGCACAATGTGAAGAGAAGTTAAAGGCTGTATCAGGAGGTTTCTATGACTTGGTCTTCAGTGGACTGATTAATAACACTTTGGTAGTTATTTTTAAATTCCGAAATTATGATGAGTGACTTTTCAGCTGATTCAGGCACGGCAGGGATGCCTGCAGACCTTGCCGATTGGGAGACAGAGGCAGGATAATGGCTTGAACTCAGGATAGAGACCATCTGGGTGTGGTGGTTCACATATGTAATTCCAGCACTCTGGAGGCAGAGGCAGGAGGATCACTTCAGTTTGACACCAGCCTGAACTACACAATGAGACCATGTCTCAAAAAGATAAAAAGAAAAGCTAGAAATTGGCCTGGCCCAATTCAAAGGAATAATTTTTAAAATTTGAGATCTGTTCATATCAACTAAACTAAAGTAAACTATCTCCCAAATTCATTTTAGTTATAGAACGTTAATTTCACATATAACAGGTATTTATTATGTACATATTGTATGTACTGTCTCTAGATCCTCTATGCTTGAGTATTTAGTGGTTCTTAGATAATTGCACCCTTATGTGTTAGAGAGTTTGTGAAACTAAGGTCCAGTAAGCACAGCAGTTCTCAAACTTGGTGGTTTCAACACATCTTTGCACTCTTTGGGTACCAGGAATCAAACTCAGGAACTTACGCTTGAAATGCAGGCACTGTGCCAAGTGCTCCTAAAAATTAAGGACTTTTAGCCAGGTGTGGTGGCATATGCCTATAATCCCAGCACTTGGGAGGCTGAGGCAGGAGGATTGCTGTGAGCTTAAGGCCAGCCTGAACTACATAGTGAGACCCTGTCTCAAAAAACAGACAAAAACCACACACACACACACACACACACACACACACACTCTCACACACACTCACACGAAATAAAGTAGAACTAGTAACCTTTCCAGGTAATCGTGAGTGTTCTTTGGTGTCCTGCTCTGACAAGTGGTCATTTCTTCAAGGTTAGTTGCTGTGGAACTCTGTGATATTAGACCAGTGGATGGTGAAAATTCAGGTTCCCACAGACAGTCCCCTACGCAGCCCCTCTGATCCCTCAGCCCCCTCTTCCTCATCCGCCTAGTCTCTGGCTTCACATCCAGGACTTTATGTGGCTGTGCACTGCTCTCCCTTCCCTACTAGGTCAGGCCTCTCCCACGTGTTGGGAGGGCAACCCCTCTGCCCGCAGCCTTCATGTCCATTGTGGGCACCTCCAGCTGCTCAGACCGGAAAGCTGCAGCACTCGTTCCCGGTGCTGTTCTCTCTGTCCTACCCGCGTCAGATCTTACCAGCTTGGACTGAGAGGTACATCCAGGAGAATGGGGCCACTTCCCGTCCTTTCCTTCAGTGTTGGCTGATTTCTTCCTTTTTTACCCATACATGACTGTGACATCGTACCCTGGTGATTTGGAAAATACAAGTTCACTAAGGAATACAGGTCTTCCAGATGCTGCCAGAGTTCATGGTGTGATCCTGTATCTTAAAATTCCCATTAAAATTTTTTAAAAATTAAAAAACAATCATATCCATTAATATTAAAACCCATTTCATCAGAAAAATCTTAGTCACTAAGCTCACTGTAGTAGACACAGAATTACAGTTTTTGCTTGCAAACTTACATTTTATTGTTGTCAGTAACCACTGACATTTTCCTTTGGTGATGCTCATTTCACTCACGATGAAGAAAATGCCTGCTGAATCGCTGGGTCTGAGTAATCATGTTGTTGACTCTTGCAAGTAAAAAGTTATATTTTCATAGGGAAAGCTCTGCTCTGCTTGCCATGCAGCCATAGGAGGCCCTAGTATTTTGAAAATAATTCTGAATTCCAGGCTCCCTCAAAGGGTCTCGAAGTCCCTCTGGACCCTGCAGCTTGGAGAACCACTGTTTCATTCCTGTTCGTCATTTTGCATTTGAGCAGGTGGTCAGTTGAAGGCCACATCCATAATGCCAGAGCCTGAGTTGGAGTCTGAGTATTCTGAGTCCTAAGCCAGCACTTCTCAGTGTTTGGCATCGTCTAACTTTTCAGGGTGGAGGGCAGGGATGTAGCTCAATGGTGGAGCACTTGCTGAGTGTGTGTGATGCCCTGGATTTGGTACCCAATGCCGCAAACACCTCCCTCTGGAATATGCATTTAAATACATTTAAGAATACACTTGAGACTCTGGAGGCTGAGGCAGGAGGATGGATCATTGCAAGTTCGAGGCCAGCCTGGGATACAAAGGGAGCCCAAGGCCAGCCTAAACTGCATAGCAAGATACTTGTCTCTCAAAAAGACCAAGAAAAATAAAAAATACACATTAGAACAAAAATACTCTAAATCTGTTTTGGATCAAAATAGGAAGTGGACAGATAAAAGTTAAAATTATGCGTATGTGTACTTGTTTTCTACACTGTTTGGGGTAGTTGCAAAATGTTAAAAGCAGTATTAAGTGTAGACTTGGAAGCCAGGTGTGGTGGCTCACATTTTTAATCCCAGCACTTGGGAGGCCAAGGCAGGAGGATCTTGAGTTTGAGGTCAGTCCGGGCTGCATAATGAATTCAAGTCCAACCTTGAGACCCTGTCTCACAAAAGCTGAAAAGTAAATAAATAAAGAAATAAAACTATAGTTTTCAAAAATAGTATATTCATGTGAAGTACTCAAAAGATTGATTGTTGGCCTGGTCTCTTAACAGCTCATGAAAATAGGTTCCGACGTTGAACTGTTACTCAGAACATCTGTCATACAGGGCATTCACACCGACCACAACACACTGCGTAAGTGGAAGTGCGGGAAAGGGTTCTCATCCTAACGGGCTGGGACAGTTGAAGGTGCTCGCACTTTGTTTGTTGGTCTTTATTTTCAGTGTGGTCTCACTGAGTTGCTCAGGCTAGCCTCAAACTCCTGGGCTCAAGTGGTGCTCTTGCCTCAGCTTCCTAAATAGTGGTGACTACAGGCCCAGCACCAGTTAAATGGCTCTTAGGTGTAGCACTCTTGTTAATCCCAGCTCTTGGGAGACTGAGGGAGGAGGAACAAGTCCCAGGCCATCCTGGGCAGTGTAGTGGAAGTCTGTCTCAAAATAAAAAGTTTGGAAAGGCCGAGGGTGTAGGTCAGTGGACAGGCTCTTGCCCAGCGTGCGGAAGACTCTGAGTTTGAACCCAGCACCACAAAAAATAAAGTAAAATAAAATAAAAGGCCCCGACCCTAACCACAGCATGTTTAATGTTGTGTGACAGCTTGATGTGGCCAGCCAATGCGGTGAATGTTGTGGGGCTGCCGTTGGAGGCCGAATTACAGAGTTTCGTTACACCAGATTCTTTTAATTTTTAATTTTTAAAATTTTATTTATTTATTTATTTATTTATTTGGTACTAGGGATTGAACTCATGACTGCATGCTTGCAAGGCAGGCACTTATGCTGCTGAGCTAAATTCTCAGCCCTTAATTTTTAATTTTAACCCGTTTATATTGCAAACTGCAGCTACAAAGATACACAACTGTTAATTTATTTTTTCTGGCATTGTCACTTAAACCTAGACTGCATCTTTTTCTTACTTTTGTTGTACAGTTTGCTATTTTAATTCAAAAGAGCTGTGCCTGCAGGAGAAGGGAGTGGAGCAGAAAAAGCCTGCGTTTGACCTCGGGCCTGGCAGGGCTTCCTCACAGCCTCATTTCAGTCCCTGAAGACTCCCTGGGGGCGGCAACAAGGCAGGGGTGTTCCGGGCGGAACTGGGGGGGTTTGGGTGCTGAGTCCTCACAGCGCGCAGGAGGCGCCTGCCAGTACCCTCCCCGCTGTCAGCGCAGTGTCACCTGTGTTCCCAAAACCCCACTGGGTCATCGCTCCCTGGCTTTCAGCACGGCAGGGTTTGAACTTTATATGAAGCTCTGGAGCTTTGTACAAAAAGGTTCACCCCGGGTTTCTGTGTTGTGTGGCTTCTTTCAGTCTGACATCTGTGAGATTGATTTCTTCGCTGTGTGCGCGGTGATGCTGTGAGAATCAGCTGCACACCCTGCTGTTTATCCATCCATTTTCCTTCAGGTCACTCCCGATTTGAATGTGATCACTGATGTTTCTGTGGAATACTCTGGCAGCTTTTGGTGGAAAAACGTGCCTTTGTGTACACACACATGAGATGCTCTGCTCTTGAATTAGTGTGTGCACAAAGTGAATTTCTAGGTCGTAGGACCTGTGAGTATTCCACTCACCAGTTCTCTAGAGTCCTCATACTAACTCACACTGCTGGCAGCAGCATCTGAGGGCTTCAGTTTCTTTGCATCCTCACCAAAATTTGCTACTCTGTGTTTATTTATCTATTCACTTACTTTTGAGAGAGAGTCTTGCTATGTAATTGAGTCTGGCCTTGAACTTGTGGTGAACCTCCTGCCTCAGCCTCCCAAGTGCTGGGATCACAGGCTAGAGGAATTCTTTCTATTTTCTAAGTAAAAGTCCTTCGTTAGATACATGTATTACAACAGTCTTCTAATGTGTGGCCTGTCTTTCCACTTGTATAATACTGATGAGTTGTTCTTTTTAAAAACCTTAATTCCATGTGTTTGCAGTGCTCGCTAGTCCCCTTCGCTGTGGGTGCTGGTGCGTGTCCATAACCTCTCTCTCTTCTTTTTTCAGCCCCTCCCCCTGCTGCCCCTCCTCACTCCCTCCATCTCTTGGTCCTCTTCCTGTTTGAAAAGATCTGTCTCCCTGTTTCCTGTTATCTTTTACTTTGCTCTTTAATTTGTTTGTACTCTGAGTTTCTCACATAAGCCCTGGGCTACTTAAGCCTACGTGATTTATTTCACTTACCACCGTGGCCTCAGCATGCGCCCATTTTCCTCCAGATGGCTCAGACCCTTCCACCCTTCCCGCAGAGCAGTATTCCATTGAGAACTTCTGTGCTGTGATGCAGTCTGGCTTACCAGTTTTTTCTTCTGGAGTTGGTGGTACCTAGGAATCTTAGCCTGTCTCAGACAAGGTCACATGCAGGCTCTCCGGTGCTCTCTTCCAGAGACTTTATTCTTTGCTAGTTTGTATCAAGTGGGGTTGATTTTTGTCTATGGGGTGATATGGGGTTGAGATTTATTTTCTGATCTGTAACTATCCAGTTGATACAGAATCATTTGTTAAAAAGACTACTTTTGGGGGCGGGTACTGGGGATTGAACGCACAACTTTGCATTTAATAAGCAAGCACTTAAACCGCTGAGCTAAATCCCCAGCCCCAAAAAGACTGCTCTGTTCCCTGCTGCTGTACAGATTTCCAGGTAACTGTACGTGTTCATCTGCTTCTGGACTTTATAATCTCACCTCTTAGTCTGTGTGTTTGTCCTTGACTCATTTATCGTGGTGGTATAATCACTACAAACTAATCCATCCTCACGTCGATATTATATGTCTGCGAGGGCTTTTTAACATTTTTAGTTAGCGTGTCCACGATGGGGTTGTAATTTCTGTGTCCTGTTCTGTGGCTCTGCTGCTGAGCTGAATCCCTGGCCCTTACTCATTTATTATGGACAGTTTTGTTAGAAATATGGTCAGTACAAGCATGGCTGTCTGGTCAGGTGGCTTATGGGTCCAGCCACTGTGATGCATATTAGCCAAGGGCATTTGTGTGTGTGTTTGGACCTGGGGATTGAACTCACACCTCATACTTGCCAGGCAGGCGCTTGTGCCACTGAGCTATAACCCCACCCCTGTAATGCATGTTATATACACCAGCAGTGGGGACCTATAAGATTTCCATGTGAAAATTTACAGAATTAGGCGGCTGGGAATTTAGCTCAGTGGAGGGTGATTGTGAGTTCGATCCCCAGTACCGATAAAAAAAATTTAGAGAATTAATTATTGATAAGCTAGTTAATGAAATCAATACATTTGTTGATTATTTTAATTTTTAAAAATTGTTATGAATAGTTTTAGTTAATATTTATATCTGGACAGATTCAAGCAACTAATTAGATTTGGTCCGTTTATAGACTTTATTAATTTTGTTAGTTAGAAGACAGACGACAGTGATTAGACCCCTTAGTAGCAGTGTGGTCCCGGCCCCTCGGGGCAGGGTGTGTGCTGCCAGTGATTCCGGCCGGTGGGGGCGTGTTAAGGGGGTTTATCAGACATTATTAAGTCTTCATTTCTAAGGGCAGCAAACAGTTATCTCACGTGTAAAATCTATAGTCAGCAGTTTTAATTTTTTTTTTTTTTTTTTTTTTTTTGGTACTGGAGATCAAACTCACAACTGTACACTTGCAAAGCAGGCTCTTATGCTGCTGAGCTAAATCTCCAGCCCAGCAGTTTTAATTTTGATAATTCCTAGAGCTTCCATGAAACACAGCCAGCATTTTATATTTATTATTTATTTATTTATTTATTATTTATTATTTTTATTATGTGAATAAAATTTAAGTTATTGCAGATAACTAAACTTGGTATCTATATTTTACATGCTTGGTTTTAGATGACAATATTAGTTAGATTTTTTTGACCTTTTGGTTTTTGGTATAATTTTCCTCTGGGGTTGAATTATGATTATGAATATATATTGCTACATTGCTTTGGAACTGGCTTCATTCTTTCTGTTATTTATGAGTCTATTTTTCTCCACTTTTTTGCTGTAGGTCTAAGATATAACAAATTCGATTCCTTAATCTCTTTTTTTAAAATTAAGCAAAATTCCTGTAAATATTTTACTGAAGTCAGTACCAGAATTTAAGAATTTTAGAGTCTAAATTCTGCTTCCATTTTAGAAAAGAGCTGTGATTATGTATCTCTATTTTCAAACTTTTTTTTTTTTGTCTTTTTCCTTTTTATCGGTACCGGGGATCGAATTCATGACTGCCTGCTTGCAAGGCAGGCGCTTATGCCACTGAGCTAAACTTCCAGCCCCGATCATGTATCTCTAAAAGGTACAATGTCTTAACATAAAAAGTAATAGAAAGTGAAAGTAATAAAATAAATTTCATCTTCATAAATAATCCCCTTGTGTGCATGAATTATAAATCTGTTGCTCTTTTTCTTTCATTTCAAGTAATATTTGTACTGAAAATTGAGTATTGAATCTTATCAAGAACTTATGCTAAGTAATTTTTAATTTTTTTCTTTAAAAAAGTACTTATACTTCCAGGTGACTTTAAGATTATTATACACATAATAATTTAATCATTTGGAGAAAAAGTTATTTTAAAAATTCTTAAATATTTTGGGAACTTTTTGATAATTTTTGTGAGATCTCGTGCATGAATTTGCAATCATAATTTCTGATTCACATTTTTGTCATGGAATAGCGTAGCTTTTAACTGTGACCTAAATTGTTTTAAATTCACTCAGCCTTCTGCCCTTGCTTCCTCCGTCCACTGGCCCTCATCTCTGCCCACATTCTGACATGGACACTAGGTAGGCGGCATCAGTGCCAGTCTCCATTGAATATGTTGTGTAGATGTTGACCGCATTTATGCATGAAGATGGCACAAACAGAACGCAGGCCTTCGGGTGACTGTAAATATGCATAGCTGTGTATCTTAGCTTCCTCTCTTTCATAAGACAAACAAAAGGAGTGCGCTTCTAACTGTGCATTACACATTAAAAATAATGCACCACATGTCAGGTGTGATGACTCATGCCTGTAACTCAGCAGCTTAGGAAACTGAGGCAGGAGGATTGGAAGTTCCAGGCCAGCCAGGACAACTTAGCAAGACCCTGAATTTGAAAAGTGCTGGGGATGCAGCTCCGTGTTCCCTGGGTTCAGTCCCAGTGCTACTTAAAAAAAATAGACCTAGGAAGCTCTGCTTCAGATGTGTGTTAAAACTTCTGCCATTTGTTGATCCACGTTTGCCGTGCCAGACTGTTCTGTGTGTCCTAAGACAGGCTGCCGTGACTCCGCCAGCACTCCGTGGACACACTAGTGCTAGACACGGGGACTTAGGTAGAACAGTGGCCCCACACGTCATAGGAAAGGCTAGCAGGTGAGTAAGAACTCCCCGCCGACCTGCCAGGGCCTCTTGCCGGGCAGGGGCAGAGCTCCAGACCCACAGGCCAGCCAGGGACGGACTCTCGTTGACATTTATGTACCTGATACATTTAGCATCGTTTCTGTAACTTCAGAGCTAAATATTTTGATGTCCTGTAAATTATTTCTGTCAAAAATATCTCCATGATTTTCACACCATTATAAGATGTGCTATCAGGGGGCTGGGGATTTAGCTCAGCGGCAAAAGTGCCTACCTTGTAAGCAGGCAGTTATGAGTTCGATCCCCGGTACCGATAAAAAGGAAAAAGACAAAAAAAAAAAAAGATGTGCTATCAGTAATTTAAAAAAAAAATTTGGCTTAATATTTTTTTGGTGGTTCTAGGATTTTATACCAAGCCACAGCCGCAGCTCTTTTTATTCTTTACTTTTGAGACAGGGTCTCCCTAAGTTGCCCAGGCTCCCCGCAAACTTGTGATTCTCTTGCCTTAACCTCCCAAATAGCTGAAATTCAAGGCATGTGCTGCCATAGCCAGCTAGAAGTTTACAGTTTCAATATTTAATACGACTGGAGTAGAAGAGGCTTTTTGGGGGCGTAAGGACAGGTGATGAACTGTGTGCTCACCACAGTTCCTTGGCAAAGGCTGGCAAGCTCAGTGCACTAATGTAGTGCTTGCTGTCTGCCCGAGAGAGTGAAGGCAAGGGCTTTGTCATCAATAAACGGGCTCAGTGGAAGTTAACCTGCAGTGCGGCCTAATGATGTGATAGCAGTTAATGAGTATCAAGGAATTAGACAGTCAGTGTCCTGCGTGCCCAGTGAGGTCAGCGGATGAAGACAGGTAGTGGGTGTTCTCCAGCTCTCTTATTTATCAACTTTGAAGGGCCTTGCTTTGTTTCCCGAAACTCTGTGCCTTCTGGGTCCCTGAGACAGAATGAGGGGAATTCAGGGCTCTGGTTTCCTTTGGGCTCAGCCACGCACACTGGGTACAGTGCAGCACGCAGTTAGGAGCCGCTGGGCCTGGGTCCTCTTGGAGCCCTGGTTGTGGGCTGGGGTGACTGGCTGGGTCCCGGAAGCCTCTGAAGTGTCGCTTGGAGGGTGTGAAAGGGCTGCAGCTTCTTCCCAGGCCTCAAGGAAGCAGCTGTTTTGATTGTTGGGCCAGTTGTGGGGTGCGGCTTTGGTCCCTGCTCCCAGAAACTTGGTTCCCAGTCTGCCAAGCTCTGTATCGGTCACCGTAATTCCCTTACATGAGACCTGTGACCTAGTAATAAATGCCTTTTCTGCTGATCAGCCAGCAGCATCGTTTCTGTTCCCTGTGACTAACCCAGCAGAGGCTGTGCAGAGTGAGGAATGAAAGGTTAACCTAGCCAAGGGGAAGGGACACTCTAGGCGGGTGATTACTGGGACCTGCCCAGAGCAGGCTTCAGGCTGGGGAGCCTTTTTCCCTGCACATTAAAAGTTTAATATTACCAAAATGCTATCCAAAGAGTAACTCAGGTTGCATAAACATAATTAAACTGAATTGCAGTTAACTCTTCTCTGAAATAAAACTGCTGAATAGGTAACAATAAATCATTTTGCAGCTATACAATTTTTAAAAAACTTAGTTACCAATTTTAAATGCTACAAACTACAGTAACTTTTGATGGTTATTTTTTGTTTGTTTCCCTCTGCAAGTAATTATTTTGTTGTGCTTTGCATGGCCAGGCAGTTTTACCACATTTGGTAAAATGAATAGCTGGTTGTAATTTAATTGTCAATGAAAAGGGCCAGAAGTAGTGGTGCACCCCTGTAATCCCAGCACTAGGGAGGCTGAGGCAGGAGGATTGCTGTAGTCCGAGGACAGCTTGGGCCACCTGGTGAATCCAAGGTTGGCATGCGCTACACAGCGAGTCCCTGTGAAGACATCTATGAAAATCTATGAAAAGGGTAAAAAGCTGGCCTGGAAATGGAATAATTTGAGAGATATTTCACATGTTCATAATCTTAAAAGTCAGAATCTTACTGGGATGCCAAATTTATGGCAATTTCAACTTTAAATTTTTTGGATAGCCTGCAGACATACATGGCCTTTACCTGAAAATAACCATGGGGGGCAGTATTGGGAATTGAATTTAGGACCTTGCATTTTTTTTTTTTTTTTTTTTTTTTTTTTTTTTTTTTTTCTGTCTTTTTGAGACAGGGTCTCGCTATGCAGTTCTGGCTGGCCTTGAGCTCACTTTGTAGCCCAGGGTGGTCTCGAATTTGCAACAGTCCTCCTGCCTCAGCCTCCCAAGTGCTGGGATTACAGGTGTGGACTATCACGCCTGGCAAAATGACCATTTTTACAATCCTGACGACTCACTTGGATTTAGACCTTCTGGGAATAATGTAGGGTGTGTTTCTTTCCTTTAGTGCGTATGTATTAAATATCCAAGGACACTTTCTAAAGTAGGCACAGCATAATAAAAACAGGGTATTAACTCGGATGCAGCGTTACTGTTGCCTTCATTTGTCCTCACGGTGCCCTTTTGCCCTGGCTCACTGTAGGGACTGAACCTGGAGTCTTCATACTGAGCCATGCTCCCCTTCTGTTTTATTTTGAGGCAGGCTCTTGCCAAGTTGCTGGCCTGGGCTTAAACTATTCCTCCTGCCTCACCCTCCCAGAATATTGGGGTTACAGGCGTGTGCCACAACACCTGGCCACGACGACCTGATGGCAGCAGAAGAGAAGCAGCGTTCCTTGTGGTCAAGGATCACACGCTGAGTGTGAGGATCACACACTGGGTTAGTCTTCATGTCTCTTCAGTCTTCGTTACCTGGAACAGTTCCTTCGTTTGTCTTTGTCACTCTTGAGTGTGTTTTGGAGAAGGTCAGCAAGTTACTTCTTTGTTCTCATTGCTGTGTGGCTTTGGTCTTTGCAAGCTACTGTCTTGTGTGTCACTGCATGACACTGTGTGGCATTTCCATATTGTTTTTGAGACAAGGTCTCTGTAGCCCAGGCTGACCTTGAACTTGCAGCAGTCCTCCTGCCTCAGCCTCCCAAGTGCTGGGATGACAGGTGCATGCCATCAGGTTCGGTATAAGGAAATTGGTTTTTTCTGGAGAAGAGAAGAAAAAACCTTGTGTCTGCTCAGAACTGCGCTCTCCGGGTTACAGGAGACACCTGGTGCCGTCCGACAGTTGCCTGCTTGGCTGTGCTCCTTGGTGGGGCATCCTGGTCATGTGGCGCCTGGGTGTCTGCTGGGCCAGCCTGTCCCACACGTGCAGGTTGTGGGAATGGCTCTGGGCCATTCTCCAGCCCCAGTGTCTCTCTCCCCTTGCTGTGACTACATGGAGCTTCCTTGGTTAGGAGTCATTGATGTAGGGCTGGGACCTGGCTCAGTGGTAGAGTTTATGATTAGTCTCTGAGGTCCTGAGTTCCATCCCCGAACCAACATGGAAAGAACTGTTATTTTTAAAATTTGGAATCTCTCTAAACTAGAAGAGTAGTCTCACTTTTTTCTAGAGTAAGTAGTATAAACAAATTTTGCAACTGACAGTTTTAGATGTCAATATTTAGTACTCAATATGGTCATTAATGTGTTTTAGCTGAATTTTGAACAGTGATTGAATTAGGTGTATTTAATAAATAAATTATAAAGGAATAAATTGGCCCTGTATGTTTTGATATAGTCTGAGATAAGAATGTCTCCATTTAGAATTAAGAATTCCACTTTGATCCGGGTATAGTGGTGCATGCTGGTAACCCCAGCACTCCGGAGGCTGAGGCAGGAGGATTATTGTAAAGTTTATTATTGTAATAATAAACGGTTATGATGATTATTGTAAACCAGCCTGGGCTTCAAAGTGAGCTCAAGGCCAGCCTGAACTGCGTAGTGAGACCCTGTCTCAAAAAAAAAGAAAAAAAAATTCCATTTTAAATGTCAATTGAAATAAAATGTCACCAGAACATTTACCTTAAAACAAGAACTTTTACTGTTACAAATTTTAGGAGGGAAGAACATTTGCTTTTATTTCTATCTCATTGGTTACATAACTAATGTTAATAATTTTATTCTCTTTTTTCTTTTAGAATTGGTCCCTAGGAAAGACCTTCTTGTAGAAAATGTGCCATATTGTGATGTACCAACTCAGAAGCAGTGAATGTTTTAAGCTAAGACAAGTCTTCGCACTTTTTAATTTTAGAAATGGAACTCTCGCAAAAGTCCTGAAATGCAGATGCTTCTCTGAACTGGCATACTGGGCGTGAGTGACTGAGACAATAAGTGTCGTGGTTAAATTTTACACTAAAAGAACATCGCGGTGAAGGGGTGAAGGTTAAGCGTTGTTAACAACAAGTGAAACAATTCTTTCTCATTGAAACCCTAGCTTTATAAAGTGAGGAAGTGCTCGGGGTGCAGCATGCTGCCTTCTCTAAGGTCTGGATACGTGTTCTGTCCTTTTTAGCTGTTTGGGAGCAGTGTGTGACAGGGTGGTGAGTTTTCTTCCCATGGAAAATGCAGTTATTAGATTAAACTGAAATTTAGCCTCTAAAACATTAAATGGTTAGAAAATCATAGTGTATGCTAGCTCTCCACAAAACATCTGTTGTTTGCTAAAACAGGAATTATTTCTGTAGCTTGTGAATAATTACAGTTTCCTTTTAGAGATAGAGCATGTCTCTGTGTTCTTATGAAGGTATATATATTTCCTTTTTTTCTCTCTTCCTCTTGGTACTGGGAATCCACTTTTGGACCTTGTGTTTGCCAGGCAGGTGCTGCACAGCCGAGGTGCATCCCTGATCCATGAGCTCTCCCTGGCCTGATATTTCTAATCAGTCTTCTGAAAATAGGTCAATAAAATAGAACCACCTAGATTCACAATGGAATAAAGAAATCTTAATTTTTTTAGGAAACTGTGGCCTTTGATCAGTTATGATGGCCTTAGTAGACTTGGCTGTATCTAGACCAGTTAGAGTTTATTGTGAAAAGGTAAGGGATGTATGGTGGCACACACATCATCCCAGCGCTCGGGAGGCTGAGAAGGAGGATCTTTGAGAGTTTGAGGCCAGCCTGAACTGCATAGAGACACCCTGTCTCAAAAAGACAAAAAGTAAAGGATAGCTTCATTCTCTTCAAGTTAGTCAATGAAATTTAAATGGCTTCTACATGTCTGTTCTCCAGTGAAATTGGCAGTGTTATGAAAAGGCTCGACGTTGGCTCCTCTACTGATAGGAGATATGAGTTATACATGATATTCTTCTTCCTCTTTGTCTGTGTATCTTTACCACTCCGCTTGCTCATAAATAGTATGTTGTTCCATTCACTTAGGAGTTTTCTGTATTTGATGATGATACAGTGTTTCCAAGTTTTGCAAGATTTTCAGTGTAAGCTTTGTGAATTTGTCTGTTGGCAAAGCACCTTGGTATAGCCACACTGGATATAAAATGTCACGTCTGAAAATGGTTTTAGCAGGTCCAAATATGATCAGAATCACTCAGAGCTAGTACATTTATCATTAGACAGAAGGCTAACCTTCATGTCTCCTGATCACTTTTAAGGAGATCAGTTCCTGTTCTGTGAAGTGCAGTACACATGTCCAGCAGAGATTTCTCTAAATACTTCTTCATCTCCTGTGTATATAGTTTCTTGCTATGTATATAGAAATCATACCCAGAGGAAAATGAAAGTTGTCGCAGATTTTAAATTAACACTTTGGAGAATGCTAAGACTTATCACAGCATAGTCCCTACATAGATAGAACTGTGTTGTTGTTTTTTTTTTTTTTAGACAGAGCCTTGCTGTGTAGATCAGGCTGCTGGCCTGGACTCACTGTGTAGCCCAGGTCCCAGGCTGGCCTTGAACTTGAAGGGACCCTCCTAAGTGCTGGGATTATAGGCATGGTGACACACGCCTGGCATCACATGTATATTTTATTAGAGCTTATGAGTTAGAGATTTTCCATGAGATATGCAGGTAGAGATAGATAAACAAAGGCCACATTGTGTTTTCATGCCTTCAAGTTACGCAGTAGGTTTCTGCGAAGAACAGTAGACCTGTCACAAAATTTTGGAAAATGTGGTACCCTTTCCTCATACAGCCTATATGCGTATTTCAGATGACTTCTAATTAGTTATTTTATGATGTAACCAGAAAAGTCATTTTTTGAATTCTTGGCATTTTGCAAAATGACAGTTGAGAGTTGATATTCTAGAGCATAAGCTACTGCAGCTATCCAGGGCTTATTTTGAGCATGACAGTAAACTAGATACCTAACTTCTCTTGTTCAGTGCCAGCATTTAACTAAACCTTTTAGTTAAAAAAAACAAACAGTTGTTCATATTCCCATAGGAGTTACCCAAATCGAACGTTCCATTTAACTGTTGGATCCAGTGAAAGTTGGGTGTACGCATTGTTACCACTGCAGATTCCTGCTCAGAGGCCCGCAGACTGTGTAAAAGTCTTCCAGCCCAGGTTAGACGTCTGTCTGTGTGACCAAGCACTGGGTCTGGCAAGGATATGGAAGGAAGAGACCGCACTGAGTGTGTGAATGGGGGGAAGTGACAGACACTGCAGCTTGCTGTGTCTAAGTGAGCACCTTTAGGCTGAAATTTGAGTTAGTCAGACTTTGAACTGGTTCTTATTTCACCCACAATTGCAACTCTCAACATCAGTACAGTTCAAGATATGGTAGAATTTCTGTATTCATTGACAAGGCAAATGATTTTATTCTTTTATTATAAAAACATTTAAAACAATGATACAGAATTTCAAAACAAAATTAAGATTTTATTTTTAAGGCAAATAAATTTAACAGTACCACAAAGCCACAGGCCAACAAATAGAAAGTGGCACGTTCTTGTAATCTCAGCTACTGGTGAGGAGATGGGGCGGGAGAACCAAAAGTTGAGGCCAGCCTGGGCAACTTAGTGAGCTCCTGTGTCAAAATAAAACCAAGTTCCCAGCACTTGGGAGGCGGAGCAGGAGGAGCACTGAGTTTGAAGCCAGCCTGGGTTACGAAGTGAGTTGAAGGCCAATCTGAACTGCATAGCAAGGCTAACTCAAAAAAAAAGACTTAAAAAAATAAATAAGCAAACAGGAAAAGGGCCAGACATGTGGCTCAGTGGTAGACCACTTGCCAAGCATACACAAGCCTTAGGTTCAGTCCCCGTCACGGGGAGGAAAAGAATCTCTTGACACTGCAGCCAGCGTGGGTACATAGTGAGTTCAGGCCCAGCCAGAACTGCAAAGTGAGTCTGTCTCAAAAAACAAAACAAGAAAAATAAACAACCAAATTTAATCTATTGAAACCCGGTGATTAATATTCCTGCATAAAAAATAATGTGTTTTGTGAAAAACCACTATATATGAAGTGTAGAGAAAATTACTTGCCTCTAATGTAATTATTAAAATAGTTAAGATATAAGGTGCTTCTGTGAATCAGTTAATAAAACAACTCAGTGGAAAATGGGAAAATTATATGCTTTAAGAAATTCACAGAAGAGTTACTAACCTCTCGTGGTCAGAGAAATGTAAATTAAAAAGATACTTTCATTCAAACTGTTACAAATACAAATTATTGTATTCAATAATTTGTAAAGGTTGAAATGTCAGTTTTTAAAGAAATAGAAATTACAAGGCTATTTGGAAAGGAAAATTAACTATCAAAATTTTAAAAATGTATATTCAGTCCATTTCTCAGCTCAAAAGTATACTACTTTTGTGTACTGAAATGTATGTTCAGAAGTTTCTGTAACATTGTAATTTTTAAAAATGAAAAACAGCTGGGTATGGTGGCATGACTGTAATCTCAGCCCTCAGGAAACTGAAGCAGGAGAATTGTTGCAAGTTTTGAGGCCATCCAGGGATACACAGTGAGACTGTTCATCCAGAAATTAAAACAAAATAAGATAAAATAAATACAGCCTGTTTCCAAATGTAAGGGGAGTAATTAAAATGTAGTTCATCTGCATCTTGGGTATTATACAGATACTGAAAAGAGTGATTTTCTAAGTACAGGCTTTCAAGTGGAGGAAGCTGGTCACAGTATGGGTTCACTCCACCCACAGGTACAGAGCTGCTCATGTATGTGTCTGAATGTGTACATACAGGTGCACAGAAGTGGCACACGCTGAGTGCTAGCCTTTAGTTAGGGAGGAAAATGAGATCAGAGGAGGAAGTGTGAGCTGAGGGCTTGTGTTCTCATTCACTTTCTATTTAAATAAATGTCATTCACAGCCCTGAGCATTAGCTTTGTGGTGCGTCACTGGACTAGCATGCATGAGGGCCAGGGTTTAAACCCAGCACCACAAAATACAAGTAGACACATACCTACTGTTTTTAGTGAGTGTATCAACATACAGGTTTAAAGGATGATTTCTAAGCTGCTAGTGATTTTTAATTTAAAATTGATAATCAAATATTAGCAAATAATATGATACTCATGAATTCTCACATGTTACATTTCCTACATTTCTTTCAAGACCTTTTTTGTTTTTTGTTTTTTGTTTTTAATCAGTACCGGGGATTGAACTCGCGACTGCACACTTGTAAGGCAGGCGCTTATGCCGTTGAGCTAAATCCCCAGCCCTGTTTTGTTTTTTGAGACAGGGTTTCACTATATAATTCAGGCTGACTTTGAACTCACTATATAGTGCAGGCTGACTTTGAACTCACTATATAGTGCAGGCTGCTTTGAACTTGCTGTGATCCTTCTGCCTCAGCCTCCTGAGTGCTGGGATTATAGGAATGTGCCACCATGCCTGGCTTTAAAGATATTTCTAAAAAGTCGTAATTTTTTTCTTTCGGTGGCACTGGGCATCAAACCTACAACCCCACACATGCTAGGCAAGAGTTACACTGAGCTGTACTTTCAGCCCGCATCATAAAATCTTTTTTTTTTTTTTTTTGGTACTGGGGATCAAACTCACAACTTTATGCTTGCCAGGTGGGTGCTTATGCCAATAAAATCTTACAAATCTAAAGACTAGCCCTCCTTTTCTCCTCTAGAGGGATCATCATTGTTTGCAATTTGTGCATTTCATTCACATACATGTTTTTTACTTTTATCAAACACTTATGTTTTTAAAAATCTTCTTTTGTGGTCTTAAAATGTACAAGAGCAGTATGATACCTTATGTATTATTCTGCAGTTCACAATAGATTTTGAGGATTTACCTGTATTGTTGCATGAACAGCTATTCTATTGTAAGAATAAATTGATTTGTTTGTACATGTCTCTATTATAGTGGGTTTTTTTCCCTGTATTATGAGCCTGTTTGCAAAAAATCTTCAACAGAGCCTGCTTGCTGGCACACGCCTCTAATCCCAGCACTTTGCAAGGCTGAGGTAGGAGAATTTTAAGTTCGAGCTCATCCTGGCGACTGCATGATTTAATATAGTCCAGGTTTAGCAGGGAAACGATTTAATACAGGATACATAATTTATAAGGTTATTGTAAAATATTCTTCCAAAGAGCCAAATGTAAAAGAGTGCAGGAAATCTGTCCACAGCACTGAGACCCAGAGAATCCAGTAGGGGACCTGGAGCCCATGACAGTGTCCTGCCCAAGTCCAGCTGAAGACCTAGAGCCCACAACGATGTCCCATGCAAGTCTGTATCAAGGATCTGCACTGCAAAGGCCCAAGGGTCCCGGTGGAAGCTAGAAAAACTGCGCCAGCGGGAGGATCTGTGCAGCAGCTGAGGGGGCTGCGGTGTAGCCGGGAAACGATGCTCAGCAAGGACCAGAGCTCCTTTGCGGAGGACCACGGCCATCCTCAGCAACAAAAAGGGGGAGATGTAGAAGCCATTGTAATGTAGAAAAAATTTTAAAACATACTTCTGGTACTAAGCGTATTTCTAACACTGTTCAAAGGTGAGACCCAGAGACACTGCCTGTTCCCATGCTTAGGAAGCTACCAACTTGAACTTTGATGCTCTGTGTGCCAACTTCGAGATAAGTGTAGCTCGGCCAGGAAGGAATGTTTCTCTTGCTTCCGAGTCCCAGAGAGTGACCACTGCAAGGACACCTCTGCCCGGTCTCAGTTTCGGATTCTCCCCTTCTGTTGCACGACAGTAACCTCATTTAGTTGCTGTTTCTGTAGGAGCGAATTCTGCCCAGCAATTAATGATAAAAGGGTAACCAACTGCAGGATATTATGTATCTGCCTTTTGTACTTCCTTTTGGAAACATAAATGACAGGAAACCTCCCATCACTGCTGATGATTTGGAACTGAGGTTCCCCATGGCCCGCTAGCATAATAAAGCTGCCTTCTCACATCCCTCTGGTGCCAAGTGTCCATTTGGTCTGGTCCTGAATTCTGCATCACTCTGACGACAACGATGAGAACAGCTTTCTTTTCAGGAAAGCCAGTGTGACAAGCTTTTCCAGGAGAATCAACAGTGCCGTCTTCCCTTCCAGTTCGCTGACTTGGGTCAGCTGGGTGTTGCAGGCTGCCCATTAACCCTTCACACACAGTGAAACCCTGTCTCAAAAGGAAATCTCAAAGGCAGGGTGGGGCTGTAGCTGAGTGTTAAGGCCTTGAGTTCAGAAAACCAAACAAAACCCTGCCCGGGAGCCCTACACAGGATGTATCTGTGTATTACCTGGATGTGTAGCAGAAGGCAGAACTGCTGGGTCACAGGATAGGAGCATACTCTCTAACTTTCACTGGGAGTGGAACTTGGTGGAGAGCCCGTGCCTGGTGTGTTCCAGGCCCTGGGTTCAGTTTTCGGCACTAAAGAAAACAGGTGCTTACCCTGGATTATGCTCTGATCAGTGAGATACTGATGGATGCCATACTTGGTTTTGTCAAACCATGGGTGTGAAATGCTTACCAGTGACTTGAGAGGCCGACCATCTCGTCCTGTTTATGGACCATTATGGTTTTGGGGTATAAATATGTGTTCCTAACCTTTGCCTGCTTTTCATTATTGGCCGGCTGGCTTTTTGTTACCAATCCTTTATATGTTCTAAATTACTAATATTTTGTTACCTGTGATGCTAGTATCTTCTGATGTTTGACCGTTTATGAAAAACCTGAGAGGGCTCAGGGAGGCCCAGTGGCTAGTAACACTCTGTTCCTAGGTGTGTTTGTGGGGGTGGATCTGGAAAGATGGGCGCCTCAGCTGGGCGACAGAGCAGAGCATCATCCTCACGGCAGGGACAGTGACGTCCGGTCTGCAGGCTACGGACAGGAAAAGAAAGGAGAGATGATTTGCCCTCTGCCTAAGTGAAGGCCTCCATGTCCCAGCGCTGCTGCTCCTGGTCCTCAGGCTGTCAGGCTGGCCGGGACTTGAGCCTGTGGACCTAGGCTGGGTTACATGTCCTGCTTTCTAGATGCTCAGCCTGCGGAGGGCATACCATGGGGCTTCTTGGCCTCTGTAACTGCGTAAGCAGGTTCTTCTTCCTCTTCCTCTTCCCTGTCCTTCTCTTCCTCCACCTCTTCTTCCTCTTTTTCCTCCTTTTTTTGGGTCTTTTTCCTTTTTATCGGTACCAGGGATCGAACTCACGACTGCCTGCTTGCAAGGCAGGTGCTTATGCCGCTGAGCTAAATCCCCAGCCCCTTTCCTCCTTTTTTGAGACAGGGTCTCACTATGCAGTTCAGGCTGGCCTTGGGCTCACTCTGTAGCCCAGGCTGGTCTCGAACTTGCAATGATCGTCCTGCCTCAGCCTCCCGAGTGCTGGCATGACAGGTGTGCACCACCTGCTCGGCTTGAGCAGGTTCTTGGTGGCTGGCTGGGGCCAGGCACCCAGGGTAGCGGTTTTCACCTTTTGTCAGTGATTTCTCCTCTTCCCAGAGGCCCTGGAACTTCTGGGTGGTGTTTTTCAGGCCCATTTCATGATTGGACCCTTTGAAGGGCTTGGCTTTGGGCCAAGCTCAGACCTGCCTGCCTTCCGCAGGCCCGCAGGCAACTCCCCTTACTGTGCGCAGCAGGCTCTGCTAGCCAGCCGCCTCCTCCCCTGGGGCTGCCGAACTTCCCTTTCCATGACTTCTCCCTGGCTGGCCAGCCGGCCAGCCGGCCAGCGGCCTTCGCCTTCATGTGGGCTTGGCAGGAACGCGAAGTGCAGAGACTGGGGGAGGGGGCTGCAGTGGTGCTGAGCAGGAAGCGCGTGCTTGGCGTGTACACACACGCACAGTCACACACCCCGACAGTCGGAGGGACCCTCGCTGGTCAAGGATCATAGTGACCACAGTGGAGTAGCAGTGTCACAGGTCGTGTAACGTGAATAACCCGTGCTCATAAGACGAAGTAGGGAAAGAGATGAGAGCGGGAGGGAGCTGCGTTCCTCCCAGCGCCTGACTTTCCGCCTTCCTCATCTCCAAAATTCTTCACATTAGATGCCAGAGGAGATGCAAATGGAATTTCACCCAGCTGTCATGGTAAGATGGGCTCTGCATCAGCTTAGCCTACATGTTGCCAACTGATTGCAGAAGGAAACAAACGTATTAAGTGTTTTTCCGGCAGTCCGTCAATAGTGTCTCCGGCCTCCGGTGGGCAGGGGAGGACGTCCATGAAGTGTGCCCCAGGCCTTCAGTTCAGTGCTGTTCCCTGCTAGCCCCTGATTCCCGTTTCAGCTGAAGGCAGTCTCTCCATCTCTGATCAACATGGACCACCACAGACGCCTGGCTGAAGCGGCTCACAGATGGGCGGGAGGCACACACAGACGAGACTGAGCTGGGGGGCACACCAGGAAGCGGGGAGTGGGGTGGAGCAGCTCTAAGCAGAGCTTGAAAATGTAGTGCCCGTTCATGAAAATGTGACCTGTGACATACAATGAACATGCAGTGATGCATTTTTAGTAAGAGAAACCAGGACTGGGGATGTTGTGCCTGTCGGTAGTGGCGCTTACCTGGCAATCTGAGGTCCTAGGGCCGGTCCCCAGCATCACCAGAGGAAGAAAAAAGAGCAAGGAAGAGGAGGAACAGGGGAGAGCAGGAAGGTATAAAATAACTCACACCTAATACCATTTAAAAATACGTAAACCGGAAGTCCACTGTGGTGACGTGTGCCTGTAATCCCAGTCCTCAGGAGGCTGAGGCAGGAGAATCCACGTGAGTTCAAGGCCAGCCCAAACTACAGATCGAGACCCTGTCTCAAAAACAAAAAACCAGAAAGCCCTATATGTAATCTATATGTCGAGATAGATACACATTGGAATGAGAAACACAGGGTTTTGTGGGTGAGTGAATGCTTTCTGCCACGAACTGTCCCACGGCTTTCATCTCTCCTCTCCTCTCTTTCTCTCTGGCAGCAGAAGAGGGAAGGGCTGTGTTGTAGCCGGATTCCCCAACTTGGAGGCCCTGCATAGAGATTTACAGGTGAAAGGTCTGAGTTAGGGGTGCCCTCGGGCAGCAGGATGGGCAGAGGGAGCGGCTGAGCTGTGGTGCAGCTGCGAAGGCCTGCAGAGTGAGCCTCTAATGGCTGAGGCTGGGACAGAGAGACAGATGCCGCTTGCTGGGGTAACGTGGGGGGCGCGTATGGAACCCACTCTGCCGCGTTGGGCTTTCTCCTCATGAGCTCACTTTGGGCAAGAGAAGCGGAATCTTCTGATAAGTCAGATGCCAAGTGAGTTAGTACCTTGGTTCATCCACTCATCCAGTCACCATTTTCCTTTTCCGTCTGGAGATTGAGTCTGTAACTGGGCACTTGCTAGGCTGGCACTCTGCCCCAGAGCTCACCCACAGCGCTTCTAAATTTTATCACAGGACAGGCTCCTGCTAAGTTGCCTCCGCTGGCCTTGAACTTGCTGTCTTGCTGCAGCCTCCCGAGTTGCTGGAATTACAAGTGTGCGCCACCATATCTAATGTGTTCAGTGCCTTTTATCCAGTGTTACCTGGAGAAAAGCCCGCCTGCGAGCAGTGTGGTTGCTGGAAACGGCCTTTGAACCATTTTTTTAAAAAAATTTTTAAATTTTATTTTGAAGATAGTAAAATACAACAGAACAAAGCCAATTTAGACGGTGTAGTGAAGTTGGTACAGAACCTCACTGCAGGTTACTGGGATAACGGCAATAGGTACCACAGTATGTCTCGTGATCTTCACAATAGTTGTCCAGTCAATCAGGTAGAGCAAAATAAAACAAAATGCAGAACATTATAGAACTTATCAGAACAGAATACTGAATAGAGCAGTACCATTAATCAGAATAAAACAAAACAGTGATAAAATTATTTGCCACCAAAGAGATGGTAGAAGGAAATCCCCCTTATTTGCTATATTGCATATGGTCAGTCTCCCAAGAGATGCTCAGACCTCTGGTGAACCAAGCATTTATCACAGCCAGGCTTCTAGTCCAGTTCCTGTGCAGTACCATATCTGGACTTGGTGATGCGTAATTAGAATTCTCTTAATTCTCAGTAATAGGAACAACTTTGGTTTATTAAGCAGCTTGAAAAAAAAGACAAGGAGAGGGAGGAGGAGAAGGAAGAAAAGGGAGGAGCAAAGGGGGGTGCTTTAAGGGATGGCTGCGAGCTTTGCAGACTTGGCGCAGCCCGGTTGCGGTGGGCGGCCAGGGCTGCCCTCTGCTACTGCTCCCGCAGTCTAGTCCTGGACTGTGTAGTTGTCAGGGCAGCAGACACCCACAGTAGCCCCAGCTTTGCAGCACCTCTCTTGGGTGGAGCAGGTATTTTGAGGCTGAAGCCCTTGGGCTTGCTTCCTTGGTGTCGGAGCCCACAGTGTGGTTCCTGGGTGTCACTCAGGCCCGGGAAGCATCCCCTGGCTGGCACCTCTGTGTCCGGGCAGAAGCCTCCATGACAGGAGGGTTCCTAGCAGGGTTAGGGCTTGCTCAGCACCCACACAGCCACAGCTCTTATCTGTGAACCCCTCCAACTTTACTCATGAAAGTAGCCACCAAGGTAGAATTTAATGACGTTCTCTTGGGTCCTTCAATGAAACCCTGAGTTGTGATTGTAGAATTACAGCGCTCAGCTAAAGTGTCCCAGTGGAAAGTCTGCCAGTAGATATGGAAGCCAAAGCAGAAGCTGCTCAGCCGGAGACACTCAGGACTCCGCTTCTGGCTGGCCACAGCAAGGCCAGCGTTCCCATGGTGACAATGTGTCAAGCTGTACACAACAAACATCTTCATGGGGAAGACTGCTGATGCTCAGTCATGTGGAAGTCACTGTCTGACACTGGGAGGGAATCATTATGAGGATTTGTGAAGAGACTGCCAGAGAGGCCGCTGGCACAGGGCAGGCGCACAGGGTTCTTTTTAGATACAGGACACAGCTCAACCGCACCCAGGCAGAGCAGGTGCAAATACCTCTGTCTTCATG